GAAACAAAAGAGTTGGTGGAAAAAAAAGAGATGCAAGGGCATTAGAAGTTGAAGAGGAGATTGTCAAGCTTGCAAGGTCGTTAGTGGAAAAAAATGAAAGAATTGAAAAAAGTGAAATGGATAAGGATGTTGATGCGTGTATGGAGAAATTGAACAAAATGGAATGGGGAGAAGAAGATGAAAGATACAAGACCGCTCTTTTGCTATTTGGTGAAAGTGCTGATGTTCGAAAAGTTTGGTTACGACTTTCGCATAGTAGTTGTGAGTCGTGGGTGATGGGTGCGGGTAGGAAGTATGGTTACCTTTGATAGGTGCGGGTAGAAAAGTTTGGATACTAGTTTTTTTTTATGATGTTTACTAGTTTTTTGGATCCTATGTTTGATGACTTTTTTGGATGATGTTTACTAGTTTTTTGGATCCTATGTTTGATGACTTTTTTGGATGATGTTTACTAGTTTTTTGGATCCTATGTTTAATGACTTTTTTGGTTTACTAGTATTTTGTTATATAACGTTTGTTATATGACTTTTGTTACTTTTGATGTTGTTTACTCATTTTTTTGGTGCATTAATTTTTTTTTACTTTAACATGTTACCTAATTGTTTGTAACAGATCAAGTATGGTTTCTGATGGTGAAGTTGTAGCTTTTCTTTTACTTGTGTTTTATTGGTTGAGGTCAAACCGACGCAGACTAATCAGAATTCATAGAATTAGAGATAACGATTCAAGCGGGTATGCATATACACAAGATTTGATGTACGGAGACCCTACACAATGTTTCGATATGATGCGTCTTACACAAGAGGCATTTGCATTATTATGCAACCATTTTACCCAAAAAAATTGGTTGCAAGCTAGTAGGACAATAAGCATTGAAGAGAAGATGGCTATCTTCTTACATGTTATAGGACATAATGAACGTTTTCGCACGGTTAAGGGAAGATTTCATCACTCCACACAAACGATTCATCAATGTTTTCACGAGGTCCTAACAGCAATGATGTGTTTTGCAAAAGAAATTATAGTACCAACAACTCCTAACCCAACAAGACATAACTCGGAACGACATAGACGGTTAAAAAATATTTTTTCCGGAGCAATAGGTGCATTAGATGGAACTCTTGTACATGCGGTTGTACCTGTTGATCAACAAACTCGTTATAGAGGAAGAGGAAAAGGAGAATGTTTTCAAAATGTAATAGGAATTTGTGATTTTGATATGATATTCACCTTTGTTTGGGCTGGATGGGAGGGTATAGCACATGATTCAAAAGTTTTGAAAGAAGTTGCATTCAATTCGACTTCTGGATTTCCATTTCCTCCACCAGGTTTGTAATCTTTATATAATTTTTATTATCTATCTTCTTTATATAATATGTGTCATTATATAATATGTGTCACATTCGTTTGCAGATAAATATTACCTTTGTGATGCCGCATATACAAACACTCGTGGGTTTATGGCTCCATACCGCAATACTAGGTATTGGTTAGCCAATTTTCGAAGAGGCAGACCTTTAACTAGAGAAGAAAGGTTCAATCATGCTCATGCACAACTTAGAAATGTTATTGAGCGTGCTTATGGTGTATTGAAGGCGAGATTCCCAATCTTAAAACAAATGGCTCCTTATCCTTTTACAGTGCAAAGAGACATAGTCATTGCTTGTGTCGCGGTCCATAATTTTATAAGGAAATACAATATAGAAGATGACTTGTTTAGAAATTTTAAGGAGGACACTATGATTACTCCTGACGTCCAAGGTGGGGGAATTGATAGAGAAAACATACAAGGCATAGAATGAGGTCCAGAAGCCGTTGAATATATGCGTGTTTTGCGTGATCAGATTGCAAATCGACTACTTTCACCTACTATACATTAAATTGTTATGTTATTTTAAATTTCATTATGTTTTTATTTGGATATTAAATTATTTATGTTTAATTTACATTTTGTATGACATTTTTTATTTGTGTGTAATTTACATTTTGTATGACAATATGTATGTTTTTATAATTATTCAGCAATTTAATCCATCAATATATATAACAACAGGGTAAAATGATCATTTTTCATCACTCAGCATATTCAGTCAGATGTACAATCAAACAACATGATTTCTTACCCAATCAGGATTTCTTACCCAGACAGACCTTTCCCAGTCAGCACTTTCTCAATCAGCAACTATCAAACGGGGCCTTACTTTCTAAATATTAAAACCGTACATACAAGAAAAAAAACGATATGTACGGCGCTAGCTTAATTGTAATATTTTTAATTTCATTAAAAAACAACTTTTACAATATGATGCATTTTAAAAGGTTAAAAATACAAAATACATATTGTTAGAAAGTGCAATTATATTTAAAAGATTTTGACATCATAAAATTATGTTGATGTTGAAAACCGATTTAGTTTGTATCATTTATTAACGCGAAACTATATTATTATTATTATTATTATTATTATTATTATTATTCTATTTTTTTTTAAATTTTTTGGAAGGGCAGATAACGTGAAACTACATTAAGATTTATTAATGTTATTGTTATCGATCTATTTTTTTCTCTTTAAAATTAACTTTATAATAATAAGCCATATTATTATAAATCTATAATAAAAAATAGAAATGAAGTCTCAATACAAAAATCCATAAAAACGCCGATTTAGTTTCATTCGATTAATTTTGATAATTGTTTTGTTAGACAAAATTAATATATATTAATTAAACTATTTAACTAGTAATTAAATATAAATATTAGTTATTTATTTATATATCATTTTATCATTGTTTTTCATTGGACAAACCTTAAGGAAATCCAACACGTTTTTATCCAATTTTTTAAAAAATCAATATATTGTTTTTTAGTGTTAAGATTTTATATTTTCTAAAGTTGTCTAATTTAATGCTTAGATTGGTAAACCACAAACAACAACACGTAACTAGTTCTTAAAAGTTTTATTAGTTACAATCTCTTAGATTACAATATTTAAAAGAAAAAAAATAAACGCACTAAAAAATAATATAAAAGTTTTAATAGTCGGATGAAAATATGATTGTGAAGTCACAAAACCTTAAATTAGATTTTTAAAAAGGTATATAGTTTTTTAATACACTAAAAATAATATGGTGAGTTTTTTGAGAATTAAATGTTTGCCTTTTTTATTTAAAAGATAATAATATGAAGTTAAAATGCAAAAAGTGTATATTTTATTAAAAATATAATAAAAGAAAAAACATCATAAATGGTCATGTGGTTTCCCAAAATCTGAAGTTTAGTACCCATGGTTTAGAAACGTCATAGATGGTCCCTGTGCTTTCAAAACTTTTGACGATCGGTCCTTATTGCTAACTCCGTTAAATTTTATCCGTTAACTGAAGGGTATTTTCGTCATTTCACACCACAGGGACCATTTATGATCTTTTCAGTTAGTTTTTTTAAAAAAGAAAAAACTAAATATAATTATTTAATATATAAACTCTCTCTCTCTCTCTCTCTCAAACAAAAATCCAGATGTAAATCCTACACCTCTCTTTATCCCATCGCCAGCAAAAGAAAAACGACCACCATTGGTGATCACGACCTTCCACCATGTCTGCCCGACACAGATCCGTCGGTGGCGAACCAGATAACCCTCTTCTTATCTCTTCTCCATTATCTTTCCTCTTTCTCTTTTTTCCTATCGAGACTTAGTCGTTTTCCTCAACGCGGAAACCAACTGCATTCTTCATTCGTCAGAGTAATGGAATCTAGGGTTTTTGATGCATGATCCACCGGTTTCCTTTGTTTCATCTCTTGTAAATTGATCTCTGTGTAAGAATGAACTGGATATCATATGATTTTGTTCTCTCCGATAAACAGTGTGGTTTAGGGATTTTTATGATCTGGGATTTCTTCTATGCTCAAAATTTCTATGTGTATGTGTCTCGCACATCACAGAAACAAAATCGAACCCCTTTTTCTTTCTCTGCTCAAATTTTCACAAAGCCACCCCTTTTTTTCTTTAATCACCGATGAAAAATTAGGAACAAGGGCAAAAAGGGGCTGCACTCTTTTTCTTTTTCTCATACAAGTCTCGTATCTGATTTTTTTTAATCCAATCAAAATCCTATACATATTTGATATCAATGGGTTTGTAACCGGGGTCGACAGTCCAGATTGAGAAAGCACACATGAAGCTGCTTCACAGACATCGCCTGATGTTTCAGCTCAAATGGGTTTACATACCCCTTTCGTGTTTTTCACTGTGTATTAGTGTGTGTTTTTCAATTTTCCAATGTGTGTATTGAACCCCAATCATTAGTTTTTTTTTTCTGTATGCCCTTCCTCCATGTATAAGGTTACAAAGCCACATTTTACTTTGGAGCTGATTCCATGGAAAGAGAAACTAGAAAAAGAAACTAAAATTTTCAGAGTTTGGAGAAACTATAGAGCATGGAGAAGAGATAAGAAGAGGGTTATCGAATATATTCAAATAATTATATTTAGTTTTTTCTTTAAAAAAAATAACTGAAAACATCGTAAATGGTCTATGTTGTGTGAAATGACGAAAATGCCCTTCAGTTAACGGACAAAACTTAACGGAGTTAGCAATAATGACCAATCGTCAAAAGTTTTGAAAGCACAGGGACCATCTATGACGTTTCTAAACCACGGGTACTAAACTTCAGATTTTGGGAAACCACAAGGACCATTTATGATGTTTTTTCATAATAAAATAACGTTGATTCAGATTGATATAGACATTTTATTTTATTTTTTTGTTATAATATATATTTAGTACAACCTTCCTAATTTGCAATTACTATTTATTTTCACCATTTGATTCCAGAGAGTTACCGGAAAAAGAAAAGGAAGTAAAACCCACAAGGGTGAAAGGCCAAAGCAGTATGTGGTGTCCACACCTCCCTACTGTTTCTATCCAGTCATGCATGCCACGTCATATATAAATGGGCCCGGCGGCTTTAGTCAATTGCAACTGCACTTTCTGCAACTTTTCCATTTTCTGTAACCTCTCTCTCCTCTTCTTTACCCTAAATCCTCTAATACAAATTTGTAAATCCACAAGTGAATTGGATCATATTGTTAGTCTTTCCGATTTACTGGTGAAGATGAAGATAAATTAGGGCTCAAATTGAAGCTTAAAGTTGGATGCAGAGATGTCTGTTGCAGAGCTAAAAGAGAGGCACACGGCTGCTACAGAAACTCTGAATTCTCTCAAGGAACGACTAAGAGAACGACGACTTCAACTTCTCGATACAGACGGTATTTCGAATTGTTTACATTGGAAAATATGCGGATATATGTTTCTGATGTTCTTATAGATCTTTTTTTTGTGATCGAGTTTTACAGTGGCGAGTTATGCAAGAGCGCAAGGTAAGACTGCGGTTGCTCTCGGCCCAACGGATCTCGTTTGTTGTCGGATTTTACAGGGACATACCGGCAAGGTAAGCTTTTAGCTTTGTGTTAATGGTGATTCGCATTCGATCTTGGACAAATATGGTTTTGCACATTGTAGTTTATTAGGGAACCTGCGTTGTTATGTGGTAGAGAGGTGATATATATTGGATATGTTTATGTATATGGATGAATATACCTTAGGTTGATTTATCTTTGACGTGGTTAGAAATTCGGGATCATTGGATATGATCTTCCGTTGACCTATTTTTGGCTATGATCAACTGAGTAGGGAAAGTAATGAAGATTAAAAGTCGATGCTAAATTGAAGAGAATTCTAAGGGTTCAATCCCTTCTTCGGTCTAATGATTAGCATGCACAAGTACATTATAATTTATAAGATCACTTCAATGCCATGGTTTGTATTGCATATATTTGGACTTGATTTGGTAGTTCATTTGCACAATTTTGGATGTTAGAAGTTAGAACTGATTACTGTTAAATAATAAGTGTGAAGGTTTGTGTTAACATTGAGACTATTGACCTAAAAGTCGATGCATCTGGAATAATATTAGGAGATTATTTGCAGAAGATCACCCAGTATAGCCCATATTATTGTCTAAGCAGAGTTCATTGGTTTCACTATTAATCTAGTTACAAGTTGCTCTATAATTCATTGGTTTCACATTTTATAGTCTTTGGTCTTCCTTATGCTTATACAATTCTACTATTTTTACAATATGATCATTTCTTGTATCTCAATATGCAACATCTAAATTGATTTAGGTGTATTCACTTGACTGGACTCCTGAAAAGAATCGTATAGTAAGTGCATCCCAAGATGGAAGATTAATAGTTTGGAATGCTCTGACAAGTCAAAAAACCCATGCGATTAAACTCCCATGTGCATGGGTAATGGCATGTGCTTTTTCTCCAAATGGACAATCAGTTGCATGTGGTGGACTTGATAGTGTATGCTCCATCTTCAATCTTAGCTCACCACTTGACAAAGATGGTAATATACCAGTATCAAGAATGCTTAGTGGACACAAGGGTTATGTGTCCTCATGTCAGTATGTTCCAGATGATGATACTCGTTTAATAACTGGTTCTGGTGATCAGACATGTGTATTATGGGATATAACTACAGGATTAAGGACTTCTGTGTTTGGAGGAGAGTTTCAATCAGGACATACTGCTGATGTTGTCAGGTATTTTATTAATCCAAACTTATGTTTTAAAAGTCATAATTCCCTTTCTGGATTAACTTTTAAAAATTGTTGTTAGTTAAGTTATATAAATTGTTGTTTGTTTCAGTGTATCAATCAACGGGTCAAACTCAAGAATGTTTGTTTCGGGTTCTTGTGATGCAACTGCCCGTCTTTGGGACACTCGGGTAGCAAGTCGGGCAGTTAGAACATTTCAGGGGCACCAAGGGGATGTTAATTCAGTGAAGTTTTTCCCAGATGGAAATCGGTTTGGAACTGGATCAGATGATGGAACCTGTAGACTTTTTGACATCAGAACTGGACACCAGCTTCAAGTCTACACTCACCCACTGCATGATAATAATAACAACAACACCCCTGACGTCACCTCCATTTCATTCTCCATATCAGGTCGCCTGCTCTTTGCTAGCTACTCTAATGGTGATTGCTTCGTATGGGATACTCTTTTGGCTGAGGTAAATAATAATAATAATATCACCTATTCATCATATAAATGCAAAGATGCTGGGTTGATTGTTTTACTTACATTTGAAATTGAATGAGGACAGGTGGTTTTAAATCTTGGAACACTCCAGAACTCACATGAGGCTCGTGTCAGCTGTCTGGGTTTGTCTGCTGATGGGAGTGCCTTGTGCACAGGAAGTTGGGATACCAGTCTTAAGGTTAGCCCCAAATTCTAATTTTAACATCTCATTCTCATGCAAAATACAAAAACCAACATTCTACTTGCGTATCATTTTTTCGATTTAACTACAAGCTATGTTCTATGGCAATTAAAGCGTTATAATTTAAGAAAACGATTTTTCGTGGCTTGGCTTTGATTGATATCTGAGCAAAACACACCATTTTATCAATGTATCCATTTGAAACTGTTGTATTTTTTATGATTATTAAGTACTAGTATAATGATATATTAGTTGCTAAATCGATAAAGAGTAGTAGTTTATTGGTGAAAGAGGAAATTGCATTGTGCTTTTCTGTATTTTTAAACCAAAACCGGATAAAATGGAAAAATGATTTTTTATTCGCTACAGAAATAGTTAACCGACTAATTCAATAAAATGTTGAAAGTACAAGTGCTTTTTTGTATTTTACCCTTGTTTTTTTTTTCTCACTTTAGAATCTAAAATAACACATATTTGTCCAGTATGATGATGATTATTGTGTGCACTAGAGTCCTTTATTTTTTGAAACATTGCAATTTAAAATTTGGAAATTTGGAGATTATTCTAAAATATTTATTGGGAACAGATATGGGCTTTCGGTGGGCACAGGACAGTGATCTGATCTGAGTGAATAATGGTGGTAAGTTGGTAACTGGCGACTCACTCTGATTTGCATATTTTTACTCATGTACCCATTTTACATTTTACATTTTATTTAACGGACCATGTGGAAATTGGAATGAACATAAACTAGTCGGGTGGGTGGGTGGGTGGGTAGAACACATGGTAAATAGTTTCATCGGATTTTCGTTTATAAATTGAAATTGAATTGTGTTGTGGTACTGGTCCATATATTGCAAATGGCACAAGATTCTCTTGAAATATTGTACCCCATTTAAAGGTATGGTTTGCATGAAATGAAAGTGACCATTTTTCCCTTGTTTTTTTTTTCCTTTTATGTATATGTTTTTGGGTAAACTACACATTTCGTCCTTGTGTTTATGTTGAAATTACTACTTTTCAACCTTATTTCATTATAACATGTTTGTCTCCTGGTGTATTGTTGTTTGATTTCCACCGTTAAAGTCAAGTAAAATGACTATTCATTTTACCCTTACTTTATTTTTAGTAATTATTGTTTGTTTACATTATTAAAATCTATGGATTAAGTTTAAGCTACGAAGGCCCCCTTTAGATGAAACCAAGCCAGGCTGAACCCTTCCTAAGATGCATGCAATCCAAGGTAAAATGATCTTTTATATAAATTTAACAGTTGGGTTGATAAATTTGATAATCTATAAACCAAAACTAGAATAAAACCCGATACAGGGACCAAAAATGTATTTTTATTTTTTAGACATAAACTAAAGAAAAGTCATTAACCACAGGAACCAAATTGTTTATTTGAAATTTTATAATTAATCCTTTAGATAATGTCACAATTGTATTTTAAGTATTTATATACCATCACATGTTTGAGAAGAAATTTATCATCAATATATTATATTTACTAGGTTATAACTCGTGGAAACCACGATTGGTATGTTTATAATTATTATATAGACAAAAATGACTATTGTTAATACAATTTGAAGTCATCAAGGAACATTGAAACACGACCAAGAGCCATCATCCTTCATAGCCCATAGTTCTTGAAATTGCTATAATTGCATAACCTTTTTTAGAGAACAATGTTGCATGAAATAAGACAAAATAAAAGTGGATGCTAAATATTAGAAAGTACATAGATATTATGAGCTTGAAGTTATCTGTCAGTCACGATTAAGTCAAAAATCACAAACATCTGAAAAAAAAAATCATTTGAAGTTCCACCAACAAAGCCATCACATAAAACTAAGTTGTTATTTTGGGTTAAAAATCAATGTATCATGTTATTGTTGGCTTTAAAATAATAGTAGCAACTATTGTTGGCTTAAAAATATATATAGCATGTTATTTTTTCTTTAAAAAAGAAAGTGTCATGCTACTTTTGGCTTAACAATGAGAGTAGCATGCTACTTTGGCTCCACAAATGAAAGTATCATGCTATTTTTGGTTAAAAATTAAAATAGAATGTTATTTTTGCCTAACAAATGAAAGTAACATGCTATTTTTGACTTAGAAATGAAAGTACCAAGCTCTTTTTTTACATTAGAAATGAAAGTAGCATGTTATTTCTTCCATTTGGACCAAATACGTTTCATCAATGGACTTGAATGTTTAAAATAGAAAAATTGAATCATATCTGTAAATTCAAATGACCATAGGGATGGAAAATGTTATTTACCCAACAATCATATTAGCATAAGTACCTTACCTTCATCATAATTAATAGCTTCTTTGTAAACAATACATCATCTTTTCCCATAAAAAATAATACAGCAAAATTAGAAAAATATTCCAATAGAAAATAAACTACTCCATCATCTAGTGTACAAATCAACTAAATGAATCAAAAGAGCACACAAGTAAATTGAAAGAAATTTATAAGGCCTTGTCGAGTTTTCAAACCTCAGTTGTCCACTTAACATTTACCTCGATTAAATCTTGGATCCCGTCTCAGAACTACAAAACACATTTTTTTGAATCTACAAAAATTGCAAATTCACACAATAAGAATAAAAAAGTTAGAGAAAATAGTTAATATTTCAGATCATAAACCTTTTTGTTTTTGGGAACTATAAGAAAGTTGCTCTAAGAAGTCAAAAAAATAAAAGATTATTTCTAAATCTATCAATTAGGGAGCTATAGAAAGTTGCTTAAACGGAAATGGTCCCTGTTTAGAAAAAATGCATAAATGGTCATTGTTTAATCTAAATAAGAGAAAGAGTCTCTGTTTAAAAGAAATACACAATTGGTCCAGGTTTAAAAAATTAACAAAAATGGTCCATGTTTTAAAAAACTGCATAAATATTCTATATTTAAACCAATTTCTAGAAACTGTACAAGTGTCCATGTTTAAAAATATAAACACAAATGGTCCATGTTTTTAAAAAATTAATAGAAACTGTCATGTTTAAAAAAATTCACAAATGGTCCATGTTTATATAATATTAACATAAATAGTTGCTATTTAAAAAAAGAGTAAATTACACGGATGGTCCCTGTGGTTTGGGGTTACATTCACGCTTGGTCCCTAACTTTTATTTTTAACTCGAAAGGTCCCTGCGGCTGAAATTTGTAACCCACCTACTCCCTTATCTAAAGTTCCGTCTATTTTGTGGTTAGAAGCCCCCCATGTGACTAGCATGTTGGGGTAAATTTTGTCATTTCACATTTCAACGGACTTGAAAGTCATCCTCCTCCCTTCTTTCTTCAGTCGCTGCTTTTTTATTCTTCTCTTCTTCTCCTCCATTATTCTTACTTCGTGAAAATTAGAGATCAACAAAATTGATTATGGTTAAATGCAATTGCGGAGCTGTAACTATTATACGAACTTCAGGGACAAAGAGAAACTCCGGTAGGCCATTTAATGCCTGTCCTTTTACAGGTATCAAGTTATCGACTTTTGTGGTGATTTTCTATTATAACACTAGTTTGTGTTAATCGATGCTATTGAAAACTTCAGGGACCAAGGGACGACTTATTTTGTGGGTTGATGAAGAAAATAATCAGCATGAGGCTGAAATCCAAAATCGTGAGCTTGAATGAACAACTTCAAATTCAAAATAGAGTAAATTACACGGATGGTCCCTATGTTTTGGGGTATTTTACATGTTTGGTCCCTAACTTAATTTTTTAACTCGGATCGTCCCTACAGTTTATTTTTGTTTCGCATTTGGTCCCTAACTGACTTAAAAAGACTATATTGCCCTTGCTGATATATTTTTCATTTTCTTTAAATTTCTAATTATTGATTTTAATAATTCCATAAATATTAATTTAAGTGGGCCCACTTCAAACCCCACCCTTTCTCCCTCTGTGTTAAAGATCATATGAGACCCGTTCACCACCGACACTGCCACCGAGGAACACCACCGGTCACTTCCGGCGACACCACTATCACCTCCGGCAACACCATCCACAACCAAATCAAATGAACCAAAAACAAATTCAAATCTAAAATTGAAATCAATGCCAAAAAAAATCCTAAAATTGGTGAAATCAAATGAATCCCAGATCTGTTGCTCTAATTGTTTGTTTTTTTTTTTTTTTTTTTTTTTTTTGAGATTGAACCTGATGCATGACATCTTTCGAATTCATCGTCACCAAAAACCCAATCAAAACCCCAAAGACCAATTATAACAAGAACGAAAAATCTCTCATCCCTTTCTCTAAATACGAGCTACGTGACAATGGTTCAAACCCCCTATTTTGATTCCGCTACAACATACATTCAAGTTGTAAGCTATTAAAAACCCTAGATTTTCCCCGATCTTCATAAATACTGCAATAAAAAAACAATGGAAGGTTAGCTAGCGAGATCAGAAGCAGCGAAACGAGTGGGAAGAAGGAGAGAGTATTTAGGATTTCATGGCGGGGAAAAACCTTAAGAGGCTTCCACAGAAACCATGGTTTTTTGGCCACCATCTCTGGTCATATATGTTTTCTGGTCACCATTTGAGCTGCTTCATATAGAGATTGAGGAGAAAAAAATGATAGAGGTTGTCTCGGTGTATCTTCCGGTAAGCATCGTCTTTTCCGACAAACTTGATTTTTTCTCCGGCGACTTCTGGTGCGGTGATGTTGTTACTTGGTTTGGGAAGAAGGGGGAGAATGGAATATTACGAGGTTTGGGAAGAAGAAGGGTAAGACACAGTGAGGGAGACTGTCGACCAGTATTTGAGATGGTGATGAGACGTTGGTGATGAACAAATATGGAAAAAATGGTGGACTTCTTCAATGAAATGAGGCGATGAATACAATGGGATCGAGAAGAAAGGGAAGTGGGTGGGACCCATTTTTATTAAAGGTTTTCTTTTATAATTTCTTTTAATAAATTAATTATAAGCAAAACAATTAAAATAATAGATATGGATATATATGTCATTTTAAGTGGGTTGGGGACCAACAGTTCAACAAAATCAAATTATGAGGATGGTCCAAGTTAAAAACAAAAGTTAGGGACTTAACGTGCAAATTGCTTAAAACCATAGGGACTATTCGTGTAATTTACTCTTCAAAATAGGAACCTGAAAATGTTGTTAATAGGCAGTTGGGTTTTATTTTTTGGGATAATTGTTTACAAGTTGTAATATTTGGTATCGGTAGTCTTTTTTGGGTTGAAGATCACTAAAGAAACTTTTAGATTCACAAAACAAACAACAACAATATGATTCAAAAGAACACACGACGTAAATAAGATTGCATTTTCATTAATGAGAGAGCTCAGAACAATTCAATTACAAGAATAGAACTATTTTATCTGCTCAACTCTTATCTCGTTCTTCTATCTAATATCCCTATATATAGGCATCGAAGAAATAAAAGAAAGACATCTCAAGTCAACAGCTAGACTGCGAACTCGAGTCAACAAAAAGTGAGAAATCGCAACTTAACTCATACTAAGTAAAGACAATTGCGAACTAATCATTATAAGATGACACAACAAAATTGTGAACCCTACAATCTCCCCCTTGTTGCGAAGTAGCCTTGCTACTCGTAACATCATTTAATTTGGCAGGAATTGGTTTGAGCTTCGCATCCATAAGCTGGGAAATGTAGTCTGCATAAGGAGTATCCTTGGTTTCAACAATCTTCACGAAGTGTTAAATTATCTGGAAATCCTTCCCTTTTACCAACAACCGTTCTTCATTCGCTTT